GGTCCAACATCGAAAAATGCTAGCGTCAAACTTTAATACAACCACATTACGAGGATTCTGCGATATATTTATAAAACATGTTTCAGTATTTATGGGGGAAATAGAATATATGTTAAATGACGAAGTAGATTTATTACATCATATAACAAAGTGTGCGATTGACATGATTTGCGGTAAGATGCAATGCTTATTCGATTTTGACTTGTTAGGAAATTATATATTTGTGTTGTAAACTCTTAATTACAAATGTATAAACTGTCAACCAAAATAATAAATAATATATTTGTTTTATTATATTTTAATTATAAAATATATTAAAAATAACAAACTTGACTTCTTCGTAATCTTGAAGATATTACGTTGAATTTCGATACGAGATCACAATTAAAGGAAAATGTGTCGTATGTTAATATAATGAAAAGGTATGATTTTCTTCAGATCATAAATTTTTTTAATTATTGTGCGCTATACTTAAGGATAGATCTAATTTAATGCAATGCTTAATTGTAGATTAGCAGAAATATGCGGGTACAGAATGCAAAATATGTTTTTATATTCTGATATTATATTTAATTTTACACTTCTAAGCCGCGAACAACAGAGGCTTTTAAATGTTGCATATTCTTTTGTGGAAGAGGTAGATATTACATATACATTCTCTGATAATGTTACACGATTTGCACGTTACATAATTTATTACTGTGCAGGTAATACAACAAAAGGAAAACGCGAAAAATAATTTAGTTGGAAATAAAAACCAATCCGCTAAACCTTGTAAGTTGTCAACATTTCTTCTATATATTTTTGCACTTATATGATATATTTATGCAGTTAATATTATAATGTGTATGTGTGTGTGAAAATTGCACGAAAATAAACTATATATTATATTTTAAAATAATTGGACATACAAGGGAATATTTTCTCCCTTTTTTAATTTACAACACGTTATTTAAACAAACATAACTGCATTCATTGGATTCATTCATTTGGATAAATATGTAAAAAATTTTTATTTTTAAAATATGAACAAGTAAATTCACGTGCAACACATCAAATTCTGGTCACATCCAATGGACAAATTTATTTTTTAGCAATTATAATTAATATTTCGTTCATTTTTTGTTCAAATAAAAATAGCAAGAAAATTATATCTTGATATACTAATGGAAGCATCTGACGACGGCAAGAAATTAAATCGAAAAGAAATTATAGATGAAATCCTTACGATTATTGGTACCGTACGTATGAGACGCCTTTTGAGACGAATATTTCTCTGTAATGTATTAATATAATTATAAAATTGATAAACTATGTTCTGATTTACGCAGGGTTCCGACACAATCGCAAATACATTAAATTTTCTGATGTTCATGTTAGCAAATTTCCAAGAAGTACAAGTATGTATTTTATATGTATTGCATAACTTTAAACATAAATTGGTTTTTTTGATGATATAGAAATGTCTAAAATTTACTAAAAAGTTAACAAATGTACACTTATCATACTTTTAATACGTAGCCTCTTAATCTAGAGTTTTTATATTTTTTTTATGGAATGATACAGAAATTATTTCGGAGAATAATTTATGCTTCAATATTCTATATATGAAATAAATAAATACATAATTTTGTAATAGCAAAAAGTATACGAGGAGCTGTTGGAAATTTATGGTACGCAAGATCCAAAATCCGCGCCCGTCAAGTTCGAAGATTTACAGCATATGAAATATATGGAGTGTGTTATTAAGGAAACATTGAGACTCTTCCCCGTTGCGCCTCTAATAGGACGGCAACTTAATGCAGATTTACAAATAGGTTTGCTTATAAACGTATTATATAGTGGAGCAATATGTAAGAATTGTACAATGAATAGTATAATGAGTACAATGAGTACAATGAACAGTACAATGAGTTGTACAATAGTGTTCTGTTTGTTATGAATATTTTATTGCCCTGAACAACAAAATCAAAACAAAAACTACAAAACGAAAAGTACATGTTAACTTAATCAAAGTGTAGATGTTCTAAATTAATTAGAAATTAATCAGAAAAGAAGTATGATTCTAATGTGAACACGCAGACTGTGTTCCAATATTCACTGCCACTATTGAAACTCTATACACGACACAAATTATAGATCTTCAGTACTGGCAGTGAATATCGGAACGCAGTAGTAATCATTGAACTTTATTGAATTTATCGATGAAATTGTTTTATTTCACTTGCGAATTTACGCTAGACGAAAAGATATATCATCAATTTAATGTTTATTGCCCACGTAATATGCGTCTATTCTGACTGATGCAGTCTATACGGAAATTTTTATAATATTTCATCTATGAAAATATTTTCTGTCTCGCCAATTAATTTCAATGTCAGATTACACGTTTGCAATAAGGATCGCCGACGTCACAAGCGCATATTGATATAAAACTATAAGAAAATGTACGTGAAATTGTAAATACAATTTGATATGTACACCTAATGATCAATCATAAATCTTTTCCTCTAGCGAAAATTCGTGAATCGATGGCAATCATTATAGATACATGCTGCTTATTGTAACCTATATATATTACAAACGCAATCTGTCGGATAAACGCGCGTCGCTTGTGTACGTGTGTATACGTGTGATATGAAGCTGAGTCGTTTGGCGATGCAAACACGGCTTGATGGGCGTACTCATTCGCTTGTGTGCGTGCGTACCTGTGAATCTGAATCTGAAAAATCTGAGAATCTGCGCGAAAATAACAGGTCTTTTTAGCGGACGAGATTTCCAGATCTCACTATTGCCTGTACTAATTTTAATCAAACTTGGTGCAAATTTCGCGTGCGCTAAACATTATATAAGGAAACTTTCATTAGATTTTCGATTTTCGTGCTTGAGATATTTGATTCGGAAGACCAACCGAACTAGAAATTCCAAATAAGCTTGCACGCTCGCGTTGTTTTATTCGATACGTACTCGGCGTCGCGCCGCGACCGTGGCGCTTGATATGATTTTATTTAAATAATTTTATATTTTATTACAATGATATTTTATATACAAATAATATGTTTCAGGAGAATATACTTTACCGAAAGGAGCTGAAGTTTTAATAACAATATTAGACATGCATCGCAATGAAAAGTATTGGCCGAAAGCGTTGATATTCGATCCAGACAGATTTCTTCCGCAGAATATTGCAACTATTCATCCAAATAGTTATATACCGTTTAGTTACGGTCCAAGGAACTGTTTAGGTATATATATTTTAGCTCAACTATACTATAGGAAAATATGAGAATAATCGATAAAATTGCAGGTATAAAGTATGCAATGTTTTCTATGAAAATCTTCATAGCAACATTTTTGCGAACATACATATTAAAGATCGATAAGATGGTTAAAATAGAAGAAATAGAAGTGAAGCTAGCTGTTGTGTTAGAGCCCGTCAATTCTTTGAAAGTCAGAATTGAAAAAAGGATGTGACAATATAACATTATAATAATATACTAACAGAGGAAATGGATATTTTTATTAATATAATTAGTGTAGGAAACATTTATTGTTACTTTTAACTTAATTTGTACGTTTTGTATAGAATACTATAATATATGTAATCAAGGCAAAATTAATAATATGTATAATAAAGACAAAAATTTGTCTTCTTTAAAGGGAGATATATTTTCCGAATTTTAAACTTTATTTTTTATTTTTAAGAACTAACCTATTTGCAATATGTACCACAAGACTTTCCAAAGTGTTACAACTAGTTGCCAGGAAAATAATTATTTAAATTAGTTCTACGACAAAGATAAAAATTTGTCTTTTTTAAAGGAAGATATGTTTTTTAAATTTCAGCAACTCCATCTACCACAATGATAAATCACATAATAAACGTATTTGAATTGTGATATACCGATATATCATTTATAATTTGCCGTATATTTATCATTACGATAAATATAAATAAATAACAAATTAAAATAATTAATTTATAGTATTATGTATAACATTACAAACCATCGGCGCAACAAAAATTTAAAGACTAAATAGTTGCTTTATATATAACTGACTAGTTAGGTTAACATATATAGCGCGAAAGATTAATATAAAAAAACGAAGTTTATTCTTGATACAGTGTGCGAACTAAAATGAAAATGGAAGAATCATCAACTTGCAATATAACTTAGATAAGAGAATAATGTAGTGTGTATATAGAGTTTCTTAGAACAATCGTGCTAACGCTTTTGAGAACGTAGAATAAATTGAGGTAATCAAAAAATTCTAATATCATTTTGTTATATTCATAATAAAAAGAGAAAAAGGCTTTTAACGCAAGTGTAAGCGATTTAAAAGTGAAAAACTACCAGAACAACCAGAAGAATGCAAGTGCTTGGAACGGGTACTCCAAATTGGAACAACTCCAAATAAATATTGCATAATTTGATGGATAAAACTTTTTTGAAACTAAAATGTAATTTTATCATCAAACATACATTGTTTTGTTAACTATGTCTTATTAATGATTTTCTGGTTTTCTTGTTCTATTTATTTATATAGTTTTTATTTTATATAATATAAATTATATGATATAAATTTATTTTATTATAATTTTCATTTTAAATAGTGTAAAATATTAATCATATGTAATAATATTATATATTATTGATATTAATAAAAGTAAATAATATATCACTTTTTCACAATTGATATATTCCTTTCCCCCTCACTATCTTAATTAATCCAAATTTGATTAGTGACTAGAAGGAAAACGTTGTCTTCCAAATATACTTTTGGTATGTAAAATTGAAGATCGATATCTGAAATAAATTTCAAATAGCGATTTTTGTCTATAAGAACGGGCACTGCGAAATACTATGAAACGGTGGGATACTTCGCCCCATATAGAAACTCTATGTTGTATCCGTGATTGGAAGTTGCATACGACGCTGTTACGTTACTTCATGCGTGCGCGTAAAGGTTTCTGTTGCGAAGAAATTCCCTTATCATTACGAGAGAAAAGATAGCGCACCTTTGCTCGTGTTTATATCGCCGTTCCTACATCTCGCTGCACTACCTTCTGCTTCGCGTTGATAGCCGCTGATACACTCACGATTACAAGATATAAGATATAAGACAAATTATAAGATATAAGACAGCAAAAATAGCTGAAATTGAAACCGTAATAATTTTCTGTAATAAAAACTGTAAAGGGAAAAGCGATGTAAACCGACGGAATCTGCAGAATATCTGTTTTCTGTCTTAATCTATCGTTTCACTATATTGCATCCGAAAGAGACAGTATCATTTTCTATCGTTCTCTATCGTTTCTTGTCAGGAGAGTATCCAATCATAGGAACATCATAGAAATCAATGGCGTAGCCAGAAAAATGTTTCGGGAGGGGCTGCACTTTTTATTTTTGACGAGCAAAAAAAAAGATTATTCGAAAAAAATTTTCTTTTACTTAGCGTAACCCAGAAAAATAATTTCGGGGGGAGGGGGGCGCAGTCCCCTCAGTCCTCTCCCTGGCTACGCCACTGATAGAAATCATAAAAGTCCTTGCACAATGCGAAGGAATAGAGATAGAAATAACACAGATAATAGAAATAGCGATAAGAACAGAGAAATCCAACATTCGGCAATACGTCAATGCAGATTGGGACACAGAATAGGCAATAGCGATAAAATTTCCGACAAGTTGGAAATCTATGTCTATCGCTTTATAATCTACTAATCACAGCGCTCGGATTTTTCATTCTGTTTACGTACGCTATATCGCTTTAAACACTTTTCACGACACACATACGATCAAGTTCAGTTTCAAGTCGACTTGTCAACTAGTTTGACTAAAAAATGAATCATTTTAATTATTATAATAAAAATAACTTTCCAGATGATGAATTATTGTCCAACACACAAAATACATTTGATGGCAATAATGGCAACCAAGTGAGCGATAATATAAAATTCGGCGATGAACTTCTAATCGACCTTGTACGAAATCGTTCTTACTTGTATATTAAAAACAAAAGATGATTGGAACGCAAAACTGAAAGCATTGTGCAAATAAGTGTTAATTCATCTTCCATTTTACCTAAATATAATTTGCGTCAAAATATAATATGCACAACAATGTATACATATGAAAATATTTCAGATGTATTTTTTCTGTAATATTGTAATTCAAGCATTATAAAACATACTTACCAAAATTTGCTAATAAAAACCTGAAAAAGTACTTAAAGACAATTTTGAATGTTTTGATATAATATTGCAATTTATCTATTAATAAAATTAATAAATAACTTCAGCCTTTTGACGTTTTTAGGTTACATTTACCTAAAGCCGACTCTAGTCTGGCTGCGTTCCGAAATTCATTGCCAGTGCGGAAATTCTATAGTATACATTACATGAACTATAGATTTTCAATACTGGCAGTGAATTTCGGAACGCAGCCTCTATATGGTTTGATTGGTTGATCTTTATTTATTTTGCGGCATTGTGCAACAGATTATATATCTCTGCTTAAAAAAGCCGATAGAAAACGGTAAAATATTATAAATTTCTCGAAAAATTCTATTGTAATCTATCTGGCCTATCTGACGCAGTTCTCTTAATAAAAGATGATTTATCGTAATGAATATAATTCTATTTTAGATATTCTTTATGTGAACAAGACAATAAAGAATGTTTTGCTTTGTATAATAACTTTCAACATTTATAATGTTTAATCCTACAAATACAAGAATAAATGTATACAAGTTTATAAACATTTTACGATACACATATTACATGAATGTTAACGTTATTATGCTATACTCATTTAGCAATATTGAATAATATTCTAAAAGACTTCGGTCGAACTTTGATACCTATGTAAATCAAACCGAACGTCACGATAAACTCTATTGTATTTTATATGAATTTCACAATACACATTTTATGTCCTTAATTAAAATCTTCGCTTTAGCGTAGTAATCATATCATATAAGAATCAACATATAGAGCTCCTACCGTTTTCTATCGGAACACTGCTACGCTGTTTCCTATATACCGATTCTCCGGAACAATTATATATAATATACTATAAGAGTACGCTTGAGTCTTGATAAGTAGGTGTAGAGCAGGAATTGTAACTCAGATCCTCTGGGGG